AAAAAAGAAAACGATTAATCGATTATTAAATTAGTCATCGATTATTTTAATAATCGATTAGTCGTCGATTAATCAATTAATCGTGGCAGCCCTAATCGCAATATATCGGGATATATCGTATCGTGACCCCTCTGTCATGATATGTATTGTATTGCCAAATTCTTGCCAATACACAGCCCTACTTTTTGGGCACCTTTATGGCCAGTGGAGGTGGCATTATAAAACTAAAAAAAAATATTTTGAATTTTTTTATTATTATTTTTACACATCAGGACAAATGAAAAGACCAGATTCAGGTAAACAAAAGAAAAACTGTATATAGTTTATCCTGGATTTCATAAAAAACTAGCACAACTGAACTATTTAGGTATATTTTTTTCTAATTCTTATGACTCTTCAAATTCTTTAAAGGTAATTCTAATGGATTCGAGAGAAAGAAGTTTAGCAGGCTAGCATGAGCGAATATGCTCATAAATTGATTTCTTTTGTGAGAATGAAAAACAAACAATCGAAAACATTTTCTGTTATGTTTGGTCATATTTTCAAAGAGCCACAGCAGAGGGACCAAAGAGCCACATGTGGCCCCAGAGCYGCAGGTTGCAGATCCTTGTCATAGAATTACACACAATGGCATGGGGGTCTCATTACAGATGTGCATTCCTTGTAGCAGTGAAGTGATGAAGGCTTTAAATAGGGCTCAGCAGGAATGCAAACAGACTGAAAGATGAAGCCTGAGGATATATCAGAGGAGTAGGAAGAAGGAGGTTAAATAAGAAGGATAAAATAAAATGAGCTGACAGGTTTTTTTTTCTTTAAAATTATCACAGTTTGCTTAACTTATTGAGAGTGTCTAAACAGTAAAACATATATGGGTCAAAGTTCATGGTCTAAAATCACTCCCCTCTGAAAGCATTGAATAAGTCCAAGTYCTGCAGTGAAGGAGAAAAAAAATACAATCTTGGAACAGCAGATCCAAATGGTAAAATTTGATCTTTTCTAACAAATCTCGCAGCGTGACGTCAGCRTACAGTTGTTTATTCACTAGGGAAGTCTGCAATGCTTCACAGAGATGATACAGTGTAAAACAATGTTAGAGGCAGCTTTATTGGCCAAGACTATTTACGCAAAATGGTAATCGACTCTGCTTTCTGGCGGCAATGCTTATATGGCCAAGAACAATGTTTAGGAAGACTCATGAYAGGTAAGTGAAACAAGAAACAAAYRCGTGCTGGATTGAATAGACATTCAAGACTATGACTGGAGGTTAATAGTTGGAATGCATTCATATTCTTTATCTTTACTCATTGATGTGCACGTTGCAGTCACTTGAGATGGGTCAGAGAGGCTGGGCGTTTGTTTGGGAAAGGCCCAGTCACATGTCATGACTGTTTTTACTGTTACTAGATTTTTTCCTTTTGTAGAAAAGTGATTTATCTGTAGTCATTTTTTTTTTACTTAAAAAGAGTTTTGCAATAATAATGTCCTCCAGATTTTCAGCAGTTCCCTGTTGTTTCATTTGTTTACTTTTAACCTTTATCTATCTAAATCCCCACAGTTAGCTAAAAGCATCCCCCCCAAGCAAAAATCACTAAAGTCTTTGTGGATTCAAGAACCAAACACTTGGCTGCACCCTGTAGTCTGTAGTTCAGGGCTATTCAATTAAATGGCTCCGAGGGCCACAGTTACTGCTGGTCAACAGCTGAGGGGCCCAACATCCAGCAATTAAAGTTATTATGTAGGGCTGCAACGATTAATCAATTAATCGACAACTAATCGATTATTAAAATAATCAAAGACTAATTTAATAATCGATTAG